CCGATACTGGGGGAGCCGAGAGCTCTCGCGGGGCTTGAAGCCAGACAGAACCACGTTCCAGTCCCGCCGGGTCGCTCACTAGGTGGGATGCAGCTCACGGCTGGCATGTCCTGGTTCTTAATCTCCTCAGAGGCAGGAAACACGTTTGGATCCCAGAGGGTTGGCCGAGGTCTGGTCCTTAAGGTGGGGGGTGGCTGTGCGGGTATTTGTAACAGGGCAGTCGTCACCCCCAACACTGGTGATACACACTCTTCTCTATGTGTTTATATCCCCTGACATCTGCATCTACTCCAAGTGCAAGCTCTTGGGGTTTGCAAGGGAGCATAATAGTTGCGCTCCTCGCCAGCCCTGCCCCCCAAGAGCTCTCTGTGACTCGTGATGGGGAACCAGGGGCCATGCACTGCCCTGCCTGCCCACGGGCTGGGTGCGCTCCGAACAGTGCCCAGGACCACAGCGCGGAGGGAGGTGATGGCGGCTCCAACGGGCACCCTGCTCTTCTGGGGGAGGGGGTGGCAGCCTCAGAAGCAAGGAGTGGTCGGCGAGCCTCTGAGCCCCCCGACCTTTCTGTCTAAGGGCAGTGGAGCCAGACCGAGGCCAGGCCCTGCTCGGCCCTGCTCGGGGCCTCGTCTGACAAATCAGCCCCAGACACGGGCTCTGTGAGGAGGAGAGGAGAAGGGGATACAGAAAGCCATGCGCCATCATCCTGTTACCTATGGTTGTCAAGGTTACCAGAGCCTCGTTTCTTAGTAACCACTCCTCCCAAAATAGCCCCATCGGCGCCAGCCAGCGAGCGGCACCCTGTGTCATGAGCTTCTTTTCCAGCGTTTTGAGGGGAGCAGCCAAGGAGGCCCCTCTCCGGGGAATCAGGTGACAGGTGACCCACCACCCTTTCTCACCTCGCCCTTTGTGGAGCTGGGAGAGAGTTATAGGCCCCGTTTTCCAGGCGAGAAAGCAGCCCGAAGGTTCGGGGACCTGCCCGAAGCCAGACGAAGCACAGGGGTCAGAACTGGGGCCCAGGCCTGGCCGGGCAGACTCCCTGGGAAGGCGTCTCTCAGGGAATAGGGGGCATCGCAGGAGGAGAGGCCCACTCACGGGGGGGGGGGGTGTCCTTGCTGTCACACGGTACCCGCTGCCAGCTGAGTGCAAGGGGGCGGGTCCCGCTCTGAGAGGCCGGACCCTCTATCTACCGGCAGCATCTTGGGGGCCCCTTGGGCGGCACGTGGCCTCTGCTGCGTGGTGAGCCCTGCTCAGGCGTGCAGACATCCAGCTGGATGTGGGAGGACAGGGACTCACAGATGCCCCCTCCCTGGGGGAGAAGGGGGGGTGGCTGGGAGAAGCCGAGACAGTGGACAACCCCTCCGTGACTGCAGCCCCAGGCCCCCACAAAAGGCTTCCTGATGGAACCACCCCAGCGGCGAGGCCACGCGTGCTCAGAGCTCGGGAGGGCTCGAGGCTGCCCTGGCTCGTTTTCCTAGCTCCTCCTGGTTTTTGATTTTTTGCTTGATTCCCAAGCATGCGTCAGAGTTAAGGAAGCGGTTCTATGATTAAAGGACTTAGAAATGTAGAGGACAATGTACTTGGGTCTGAATGGCATCACTAGAGACCCAGGAGAAAAAGCAGTGGTAGGAGAATCACATACAGATCTTGTGTCTCACCCTCCTGCAAACGCAAACTCGCTCAGAGCACACAGCTACTTCATGCATTTGGGTAAGAAGCCAGCGCAGCCCGGCCGGCGTGGCTCAGGGGTTGAGCATCGACCTATGAACCAGGAGGTCACAGTTCGATTCCCAGTCAGGGCACAGGCCCGGGTTGCGGGCTCGATCCCCAGTGTGGGGCGTGCAGGGGGCCGCTGATCAGTGATTTGCTCCCATCACTGAGGTTTCTATCTCTCCTTCTCCCTTGCTCTCTGAGATCAATAAAAAAATGTTTAAAAAATAAAAGAGAAGCCAGCGTGTGCCTCTCTCCGTGGAGTGTCCGAGACGCTCCGCAGTGCAGGTCTGAACTCAGTCTGGCTCCACGTTGCGGGAGGGCTGGAACCTTCTCACATTGGAGGAAGCGTGTGATGCCGCCGAAAGCCACCAGGATTTGCTCTGAGGACCAAGCATGGTGGGGACCCCACACCTGCTAAGATGCTGGGCACCCTTCTGTTCTTAGCGGTGAATCATCAAATAGATTTTAAGTTGTGTTTTTGTTGATGGAGAACTGGAGGCTTTAGGATGTGGGGGGCACTGGGGTGGGGTTGGGGGGACCTAGCTGGGCAGAGTCTGGCGCGAGCCCACGGAGGCCTGTGGGGTGGACGCGGCTCCCAGTCTCACTTCCTGCCCGCGGACCCACAGTGAGCATCAGCCCACATTCGCTGGGTTCAGCGATGTCCTAAGCTCCTCTCGGGCCTCACTTCACTGGTTTCAGGCGCCTCTTGGAAACAGGTGCAAGCAGTTTCCTTCAAAGGGCAGGCATGGTCGACACAGGGTGAACTTGAGCTGGGCCAGCTTCGAATTCGCTAGGCTCTGTGCCAAGTTAGACACGTGTGTGTGTGTGTGTGTGTGTGTGTGTGTGTGAATACGGTGCTGGCGTGGGGCCAGGAGGCAGTGGGGAAAGGTGGGGGGAGCCCTGGGCTGGAGCCAGGAAGACCTGAGGTCCACCCTTGGCTTGGTCACTTCCTAGTGACCTGAACTTGGGCAGGTGCGTGGGCCTCTGAGCCTTGTTTTCCTCTCCTGCAGGACGGCGTTGGGCACAGGGCCTTCTCCGGGGTGTTGTGAGCCACGCAGGAGGCGCGGAGAGAGGAAGTACTTGTCAGTGGGGACACACTGAGTTGGAAGGATGTCAGCCAACAGAGATGTATTGAGCACCTACTGTGTGCCGGGCACTAGGAGTGTAACAGTGGAAGACAGCGGAACCGAGAGCCTGTGGGGAGCAGGGAGACACGGATGAGGTTATTAGGAAGGCTCCTCTCTGTGGTCTGGGCCCACGCCCACCTGGCTGGGGCCTCTTCCCTCTGGGAGAGGGGCCGGGTGCAGTGCCAGAGCGCCTGCCCCGATCCCTGGCACCTCCTCACATGCCAGCTCAGCCCGCAGCTATGCACTCGCTCTGCACATCTCCTGTTTTGGTGTCCTCCCGGCAGCCACGCCTGGTCTCCCCGAGTCAGAGAGCCACTCCTTAACCCCTGGTCCCGCTCACAGCGGGGAGAGTTCTGGCGGGAACAGGCAAGTTCCCAGGAACACAGGCGCCTCTACTTCCTACGCACAGAGCTCGCAGGTGCTCTGGACCGGGCTGGGCCTACCGCTCTCTCCCACTCCGGGCAGATTTGCCGGGCGCTGGCTGGGGGGCACCCACACACTTCTGCCCTCTTGGTGGTACTGAGGGTTGTGTAGTCTGAAAAACGCACGGGGTGGGTCAGGGGGTGTGAGGCAGCCAGGTTAGGTGGGAGCATCACCCAGATTTGGCAGAAGGTAGAAGAGGGGACATCAGCTTGTCACCTTGACCGTCTGCATAAGTGGATCTTTATTTGGGCAGAAGGCTTCACGGAGCAGGAAGTTGAACCTGTTGCCTGGACAGCTCCTCAAAGGCCTTTGGGAATTGTTCTAACACTCCCTCCTCTTTACCAATAACGAAGAGACAGCAACCAGTGGAATTTTAAAGAAAGAAACAGGAAGGCTGGGAACTGGTGGCCCCCCGCCTTAGTGAGCCCCGTCGTCCTTGGACGTTCAGGTGGTTTACCTCTGAAGACCTGTTTTTAGATTTTTAAAAATATATATATTTTTATTTATTTCAGAGAGAAAAGGAAAGGGAGAAAGAGAGAGAGAAACATCAATAATGAGAGAGAATAATTGATTGGCTGCCTCACAGCCCAGGCATGTGCCCTTGACTGAGATCGAACCTGGGACCCTTCAGTCTGCAGGCCGACGCTCTATCCACTGAGCCACACCAGTGAGGGCTGTTTTTAGGTTTTGAGGGAGAGGCTGCTCATCGCCCTTTTTCTTTTTGGTTATAGAAGCCCCCTAGTTCTGGGCAGGCCCATAATCAGCCACCGCAGACCACGCTGCCTGCCTCCCTTGCAGCTAACTGTCCATATGACTAACGTTTGGCCAGGGGGTTGGAGAGGAGAGTGGTGCATGCAATTTCCAAATTACTTTTTAAGTTGCTCGCCCTGCTCTGTGCATCTTCCCTGGGCTGGGATGTGGAC